TATTCGGCTCCATTAATAAACGGTTATTGGAACCATCCGGAGAGTACCATAAAAATAAATCTAACGACAAATCGGCCTAGTGCGCGCGGTCGATTTTGAAAAATCGTCGAAAAGTCCGATTACGAGGTATTAAAAATAAAATTTAAACGACACTATCTGCTTGTTAAATTTATCGAAAACAAGACGAGGGTCCCGAGGGGTCGGGATGTCAACGAGGTTAATTCCGAGTTTGGGTTTAGATGTCTTATCTGCGTACACGTCACACACAAAGATGCGCGCATCGCGATGATTCGACTACGGAGATAAAGTAACGTAACGGATAATCATCGCGCAAATGAAGACCTCGTTTGGGGTCGATTTTTCTTGTGCGCGAAAGTTCGTGCGTCGCGAAACTATAGATTTTTCCCGGGAAAGTCACGTGAAATGTACTGGGAGCTTTTCAAGATTATTCAGAGTTGTGTGATTATTTTTTATTGAACTGAGCGCGTCCAGCTGTCAAAAATAAAACTATTTTCAACTTTCACCGAGTTGGCCTTTTATTGGTGATGTCAAAAAGTGCGGCCCAAAATATTGAAAGCAGTGATGAAGGTAATTTAAATTACGTTTTGATATTAAATTGAAATTTAACAAATAATATTTAATTTTTCTTTAACAGAGAATGAGAATTTACAAAACAACACCTTCAAAGAAGGAATCAGAGAACACAAAAGTGGTACTTATATTCAGAAAATTAAACGAAATTCAGGGAAAAGAAACGATACAAAATCGGGAAAAATTATTCCTGCTAAAGTTTTTCAAAACGTATTTTCGAAATGTTTTGGAACTTAGGAGACTTTAATAAGCAAAATATATCGCTATACAAAGCGACCGGACGCAGTGTTGTAAAAAGAAGACGCCAGAGAAACGGAAACGGTTCATATAGAAATGAGAGTTTTACGTATTGGTTAAATTCTAAAAAAGGCAAAGTTGCTGTTTGCAAAAAACTCTAAACACGGAATCTGATATACAAATAAGTACCACACGTCGGTTTTTAATTTAATATTTATTTCATCAAAAAACAATAAATAAAAGTAAATGAGTTTCTGTAGATGGACATGAAGATCCAGATAAAGTGTATGAAGATGAAGATGTACTACCAGAAAGAAAACTCGATTGAGATTGTAAACCTGAAATATTTTTATTTTCAGCCTCCTCGTTACCTGGTGGAACTGGAGGTGGAGTGTCGGTATCACGAGGAATTGGTCTATTTGCAGATAGGACGTTCGGATAAACAATCTTATTTCTATTTTTTTTCGAGAATCCTCGTGTAGATGTCATGCAGAAATAACAATCATTCTCATGATTTTGACGCTCACTCCAAATCATTGGCAATGAAAACGGCATGGATTTGTGACTTTCTTCAAGCCAACCTCTCAACGTTCTTGAGCAGCTATTGCAGCATACTTTTGGCAACCAACTTTTATCTCGCTCATCGATGGAAAACCCAAAATATAGCTTATAAGCTGTTTTAACCAGATCGGTCATGACATGTCGCTGTGTTTTTAGAATGTATTCCCCACAAATGTAGCTGATCTGAGGAATTTTTACAAGTCCGTGGCATTTTGTCCCCTAAAATCACATGAAATTAATTTTAAAACAACTTTCAAACTTCTATTTTATATTTATTGACTCTACTTAAAAATAAAAACTCAAACTACACATCAAATACTTAAATCCAATGTAGGGAACATGAACTTTATGCAAAACTTACCAAAATATTTTATACAAAAGGTAAACATTTAAACGAACTGAACTGTTGTAGTGTCACAATGAATACTGCGCGTGCGCGTATTTACTACCATAAAAATCACCTTTGGCACTTCCCTCCTTTCTCTTACAACTCTCTGAAACTCATTTTGCATGTATATTTACTTTTTGTAACGTTGACGAATGAAAAAATTGAAAAAAAAAAACAAAATTTTGAAATATAAAAAAAAATCATATCGAAAAATCTAGGGGATAGATTCAAAACGTTTGAATCATTATATTTATCATAAATTTTTTAAAGTATAAGCGAAGGGCGATTGAAACGTGAATTAAAATCTAAAAACGTTGGCAACGATTTACGTGGGCGTTTGCCTGCCTATGTGGTGAAGCATGTTAACAGTTTCCCGAAGTTTGAATCCCATTATATTAGCGACCATAATCCCGACAGAAAATATCTTTATCCTGAACTGACTATAAAAAAATGTTTATTTTTTATGAGCTTCACTGTGAAGAAAATAATTTAAAAGCAGTTAAAGAATGGACTTATAGAAAAATATTCAAAAAGGATTTTAATCTATATTTCCACCAACCACGCAAAGACACATGTCAAAAATGTGATCTATTAAACATAAAAGTCAAAGTATCAGAAAACCATGAAGAACAGAAAAAACTTATGGAAGGACATGATATTCATTTGAAGCTAGCAAAATCGGCTAGAAATGAGTTAAAACAAGATCAAGAGCGAGTATCGAGTAATCCATCTCATTATTTTGGCTTTTCGTTCGATTTGCAGGAAGCGTTACCATTCCCAAAGTTAACTACTTCAGTAGCTTATTATAAATGTAACATGTATATTTCAAATTTAGGCATACACAATTTCAACAACGATAATGTATACATGTACGTTTGGGATGAAACAAAAGCTTCTAGAGGTTCGCAAGAAGTGGCTTCATGGCTCTGGATTCACCTAAAAACTCTGAAAGGTGAAAAACACATCATTGCATATAGCGGCATGTGTGGAGTATAAAACAATGTGGTTAAAAATACTATCTATGGGAAATAATGTGGAAATCATAGACCACAAATTTCATTTTTACCTAATAACAGAGATTTTGGCTTTATAGAAATGTATATCGTTAAAAAGCATTCAATTATTGTATGTGCCACAATATTATTATAATATAATTAAAAAATGTTGAAAGGGTAAATGAAATGAAACAAGAGGATTTTATATCAACAAGACTCTTGGAAGAAGTAGTTTACAAAAAAACCAACGGAGAGAAAATAAACTGGCTCCAAATATGCTGGATGCGATTTTTAAAAAATGAACCATATAAAATTTTATACGAAACAACCATGGACGAGAACGCAGAATTCAAAATTCTTGATAAAAAATTTGGGAATATTGTGTTGCAATCGCTATATAAAAGTATAAGAAGTATCACATCACTAAAATACCGACACATGATGGACATATTGCGGTATATACCTCCGGAACACCATAACTACTTCAAAACTTGTTACTAAATTTATTTCTATTATCTAAAAACAGAATTTATTTTTTTTTCTATTTTTTAAGCTATATGTAACGGACTTTAAGATCTTTCACTTTTTGTAACAAAACAAATTTTTATTTTGAAAGTGACGTAAGTCCTTTTAAGATCAGCGAGGTCATATTAGACACCTAATAATAGCGACTTTTTAATAGGATGTATAAAATTAAACCGTACCATATATTTTACCTATATTTTTAATTTTATAAAAACGCAAAACTTTAAGTATTTCAAATTAAAGATAAATGGATTTAAGTCACTTTCAAAATGAACGGTTCATATGATGTTCATCTAAAAGGTTCCCGGAAAACCTGAAATATCTGAGAAAATGAGGGCGGAGTACAGGAATCGAAGCCTTTTATTGTCACACTAAAAGTCGTTTTGTTTGTTTTTGTTTCGAAATTTATAGTTCTCAAAAGACAGTTGCTACTGCTTTGCTTTACAAATTATAATTTTACCGGAAATGAAAAAAAAAATTATAATCCATTGATATCAGAACCACTTTTCATGTTTGCCTAAATTTGTATAAATAGGACATACATATATATGCAATTTTTATACTACATGTGCGTATCCGCTTAAGTACAAAAATTGTATAATGTCCTTTTATCGGGATACCGTGATTCATTTTAAAAGTTTTTGCGAATATATTCCAGAAGTTATAAGTTTTAACATTGTTCCGATTTAATAACTTCTGTCTAATGACGCAATACATTGAAAAAATAATGAAAAATGCAAGCAACTTTATATTTCGCTTATTTATAATCTTGGTAGGCTAACTTTTTTTGGGTATGTACTTTGGTCCCTTCTATCGAACAGTACCAAAACGCCGATTATAGATAATATCATTCTGCGTCAGGAACGAAGGACATTAAGGTATCTGTAGATAGGTCTCATTGACCTCTACCTTCAGAAAAATAGTAGGTAATAACAACTTTCATTATTAAAGAAACAAGCCAAAATTAGATAATTTTTTAGCTTTTATATCTGGCTTATTTAGAACCGTAGGAGGTTCGAATGTTTTGCGTATTCATTTTGGTTCTTTCTCCTCTGTTAGAAACAATTTAATTTAAATTTAGTTGGAGCTAAACGGAGAAGGGTAGGAGAGACTTTGAGGTAGCTGTAGGCAGACCTCATTGATCTCTACCCATAATAAATATTTGAAAATTCTTAGAGCAACGTACTAGGTAATTAAAAAAATGAAAATTTAAATTAAAAAAAATCAAATTTCAATGGTCAGTTTTGCAAGCAGGAACCATTTGCCAAAAACAACTCATAAAAAATTTATGGATTTTTTTGTTTTGCTTAAATTTATAGAAGTTCTTAAACTTTCAAAGAATTATTCCAGTAGCGCCCTCAAAACTGTTATAATAGTTATTTCGACCAACCCTGACGTATTCAGTAGAGTCGTTTACGATTTTCACGAAAGGAAATAAAACGTTTATTTCTTTTCTACGTAGTCAGACTGACCACTGTCGAACTCTTAGCAGCCACGTGGAAGGCCGCAAGATCTCTTATTTGTTGAAAGCGAGGTTTAATAAATAAACAATCTGAACTGGATTTTCTCGAAAATCAATGTTTATAGTAACAAACGTGCCTAATCTGTAGGATGGCAGCAGCTTTTTCGGAAAGAAATTTCTTTCCTGCGCCGGTATCCCGCAGGAAGACCGTTTGACCGAGCGACTGTTATTAATTTTGCAGGCAAATGTTTCCCCAAATGAAATTTCGAGTGTCCGGTCTCGACCTGAAAGCCAAATACATCCTATTGCTGGACATTGTAGCAGCAGACGACTACCGCTACAAGTTCCACAACAGGTACATCCGGAAAGACGCAATTTTAACGCCCTTTTTTCTCGACATTGTTACAGGCGCATGTTTCCTGCTTATAAAGTACGGGTCTCGGGCTTAGACAAAAAATCCAAATATATTCTACTCATGGACATTGTAGCAGCTGACGACTGCCGGTATAAATTCCATAACAGGTTAGAATTCCACATTTTTATCCATACATTTTATCTTTTCGGTGTACGTACGCGGCTTCGCTTTCTGCGTCTGCGCGCGCGCGCTCCACCTGTCGGACGGAAAGCGAGGCCGGGATTTGTTTCGGGCGTTTGTTTTGAAAATTATCCGCCCGACTGATTTTGAAAGCAAATGCCCGCACAGCATTACGGTATTTTTTCTCTTCCGAAGCACGAAGCATGCGTTTTGTAGAGATCCCCCGGTATAACAACACACACGAACCGTCGAAGAAATAACAGCCGAGTGTGGTCGGACCTTTAAATATATGTATATTTTTTTAATTAGAATAATTACGGGATGTCTTCTTGTTTAAGCGAGTCGTTGCGCTAATGAACAATGCTTTACTTTAATTTGTGAGAAGTATGTTATTTCTTCGTTGACGTGTTATTTTGTTCCCCATCTGTCTCTCGTTTTCTTCTAGGTTACTCTTGCATGTACGTTACTTTAGTGTTAATTTACGCGCATGTCGTCGTATGAAAGACGTTACTATTATTAAGCGTGTTTTTCTATCTTCTTTCCGACTGGTTGTGCCATTAGATTAGATTACATGTGATCGCTAACTAACCGAGCAACTTAACAGTTCCTTATTAGTAACTAGTAAGGCAAACGACAATTTAGACCTTCCCAAGAGGTGTACCATTGTTATTTTTAAATCGACTGTAACTTTTTCAATAATTCTTTTAAAATATTATTCCCGAGAGCAATTATTGAATTTAAGTTATCCTACTGAACCTCACACTTCTGTCGTCATACAGCTCAATTAACGGCTTAGCGTATTTCTGGCAGGTGAACAGCTTCTATTTCTCCTAAAAACTTCCACACGCTACTGTTATACTTTTTACAAGACTTCTGGATTTCTCCTGCGTCGTCCGACCTTAATTTAAACTTTACCTGCTGTTTGAGGGTGACTGATTTCCATATTGGTCTCAACTAAAGACCTGAGCCGCGGTTAAGATTGCTAGGTTGCTTATAGGTCTCTATAGACTCTCGGGTTTTTCGTTGGTAGGAGAATTGATGATGATGATGATGATGATTATATATTTATGGAAGCCTTTGAGAAGAAACCTTTCGACACCTTCTATCTGAAATGGTCAAGAATCCCTAGCAGAGTAAACATTTAAAGTCTAAACACCCAAACATACGTTTTACCATTGGATTAGAAACTAATAATAACATTCCATTCTTAGATATTCTTCTGAATAGAAAATCAGACCTAACATCGGGTCATTGTGTATACATTGTGTAAAACCTACGCACACAGATCGATATCTTAATGCATTGTCACATCACCATCGGGTTGCTATAGCAATGAGGCTGAAAACAATCCCACACTTGCCACTGTTGTCCTTCCTTAGGTTCCAAACATCATCGACCACATATTAAAAGTTCTGGAGAAATATAAGGTCAAAATCAGATTTACCACTTGTGAAAGTATCTCTCTATAACTTCGATCCGTCAAAGACAAAATTCCGTTTCGAGATACATGGCGGGCCAGGATTTTTCGCGATATAACCTGCTCGAACCTGTTGTGATGCTCCAGGCTCTTTAGTTAGTGATCTTGGTATTCCTTTTTCCTTAATCTCTTTTCTTACCTTAACCTTTCTTAGGAGCGGTACTTAATTAAAACTAAATTTAAAATCCACAGTAGATGGATGGTGGCCGGGAAGGCGGATCCGGAAATGCCGAAACGGATGTACATACACCCGGATAGCCCTTCGACCGGCGAGCAATGGATGCAGAAGGTCGTTTCCTTTCACAAACTCAAATTGACGAATAACATCTCGGACAAACACGGATTTGTGAGTATTATATATTTCGACTTATTCGACTCTTTTATTCGCGATTGTTTCTTCCCGAACAAGAGAAATATGGTTTGCGAGACACTTTGAACGGAAGCCGTAGCAGAGAGTCTAATAATTAGATTCTCGAACAAGGCGTCGCTATTGTCTAAACATGGCCACAATTATCTGTGGATTCCAATACGTAGATATATGTTTACATTTATCTCAGGTTGGTATAATCTAACTGATGCTTACTAAAGAAATCTTTGAATTTTTTAATTATTTAAGTTAAACAACCCAGGGACATGTAGAGGGAAAACGATCATAATTTTTCCCTCAAAAACAAAAAAAGGCACGAAAAATGCTACTGCGATCAAAATAAAAACGGTAAACTTGCAAAACTACGAGTTCAGAGATTTTCTTCATAAACATCAATTAGATTACCCGCTAGAACGTCACTGGAACCAACAATTATTTTATGTTTACACCAAAGTTTTTTGCAAAAAAGTCGACACGCTCTGTATCTCGCAAATTTTAAGATAAATAATCTGTATCTGTATATATTTGGCTGTTTAACTTTGACTCACCCTCAAGTTTTGACAAATATCCCTTTAGATTTAAATTTATACAGGTTGCTCCAAAAAGCATGCACCAAGGCTTGGCTGGAGAATTGCCATTCAAAAACAAAAAGACACGTTAATTTAAAAAAAAATATATCCATAGGCTACAGTAATACTATTTGCAAATCCTCTGGATTCTTTCTGGGTCGGTTGTTAATGAATCGAACTTCGCCGACCATCCTTTTGGCTTCTTCAGACTTTATACTTTTAGTTAGTACAGAGTGTTAATTACAGTCGAACTAACTCGAAGCTGCATTTATGAAAAAAATAAATTTGACTCAAAACTTCGACTTCTTGAGGTCAGATAAGAAGACTGTATAGGCAGTTTTATTAAAACAGTTTAATTATATGTATTAGCAGTTTTACTAAAAAGTATACATGCATGATATGTACATGAAAAATAAATATTTATGAATGGAACTAAAATAGTGATGGAAAAGTAAATCGAATATCTAAATGATATGGAATTATGTATGTGCATAATGTACATGAATGTTTAAACGTCTGTATTTTTATTTTTTACTTTAGATATTATGATATTCACCTATCAGTTTTTTATGCTTAAACATCTTGGGGCCATGTGACTATTATTGGTCAAACACAAACGAATTGTGTCCAATGCTTCTTCAATCTAACTCTTCGACGAAGTTTCAAACTCTGGTGCTAAATTTTCTGCTTTATCGTTTCCATCAAGCACCACTTGCGGCAAATGTCTTTCCAAAATCATTTCTTCCGTCGTATATTCGGATGTACAGATATTACTATCGAATTGGGGGTCTCAATTGTCCTTAAAAAATATTAGTGAAAAAACTTTGTCTTCCCAAGCAGAAAATTCACGAAAACAAGAAATAAATTTGTATGGTTTCCTTGAAATATTTCGCCCCATCGCTAAATTTGACTTACCAATGAACAAAGTATGCACCTTAATGCCCCGGGAGGTATTGACGTCAGTACTATCCAAAACTGTCCAAAATGCGTCCCTAATAAAGTAAATTTAACCAAGCATTTTTTTCTTCGCTTTATCTGACAATGGTTACATAAGAACAACCATCTCTAAAGTTGTGGCAATGTCACTTACAAGTTATATTTAGTACGGTGTTAACATTAATTAATCGTTCTTTCTATCTTATAGACGCAAAACTCAAGTAGTTCAACTGTACTATTATGTTGAATATCTCTTTACCGAAAATTCTGAGAGGTATCTTATCGAATATTATTGCCAGAGGGATGTACGGCACTGACTTTTTTTGCGGCTTTGTCGAATAAGTCATTAAAATTGATTCTCGAGTTATTTTCGTTTTCAAATGAAAAAATAAAATTCGTCAAGATTCTTTCTCAAAATTATAAAGGACGTTTCCAAATTTTAAACAAATCGGCCAAAAACAGTTTTCAATATTGTAAACCTAACAAAACTAAGCATGTCCGGATTTTGGTGTGAACTGTGATTCTCGACGCATGTCTTCTTAAAACACTCCCTATATGTTGACCCGCAGATATCAAATATCCACGGTGCCTCTTTATTTTTCCGAAAAATAAGTCGCGATACGTACAGTGAAAAATGGCGTTCGTCCCCGCAGCAAAAGATCTCGCAACGTTGTAATTGTTTGCCCGACTTATCCCCGTCGTAATAAAACAGCAGGACAAACACGCGGGGCGGCGGCGGCGGCGTCGGTAGTCGTAGTCGTTTCTCAATGTCACGTCGTGCTTCCCCTTTTGGTCGTCGCCGTCGTCGTCGTCTCCTTCGTGTGCTAAATGCATAATATATGGCATATAACATGTCTTATTCAACACACGGCCGCTCCACCTTCAGGGCGTGGCCGTAATTCGCTTATACGTACGGTTGTGCCCTTTTGGCGTACGCTTCTGCTGCCTGGCTGCCCTTTTGGCACGACTGTACTCGACCGCGGCCATGAGTCCTTAATGCGGTTTCGTTCCTTTACCCGGGGTTGCGAGTTTTCGATATGCGATGGGGCCTGCCCATCATGATGACGTTGAAGAAGATCGTGATATTAAAAGTAATAGTAAATAATTTTATTTCACAATTAAGATGGAATATAGCAACAATGCAATTGCAGAAAAGGCGTTAGAAAATTTGACCAAAATTACTTATTAAGATTGCAATATGGATTTGCAAAAAAGATTGCTCAAAGCGGTGACTACATTTGAATCAGCGACAATATTAACACAAATATTTATGCCAGCAGCTTAATATAATAAGTATTTTGTCCTTTTTATCTTGAAAATAACCGTTGACGCCATCTTAGAACCAATAATATTCAATCTTTATCACACGGCAAAATTCAAATGATGTGCTGATGAATACTGAGAACTATTTGAACAAACAACATTTGCCGTTTTGATTATTTCTTTCAAATTAATTTTCACTATAGTTCAATTATTTCTGTAACAAAAACGTAGATGTCTTGCTTGCTCAAAATGGAAAATTTGTTTTTATTTATTCTTGTATAATAATAACAATTGCTACTAATTTTTCTCTGATTTCCCTTAACCAGCAAAATTTCGTTTTATATTATGAACGTAACTTGGGCCCCTTGACCCTTTCAGAGGAAAAGTGAATTTAGTAATGACAAAAATAATTTCGATCCTATGGATGTAATTTATGCACCTTAAAAGCTGATATATTCTCCATAGCAATACTCATAATGAGTTTGCTCAATAAGTGAGTTATGCTCCAACTAAAGCCATTCATAAAATTGCTGTTGTGATACAAATATATAGGCATTTACGCGAGGAACCAGTGGACTGAGGAGTTTTGTCTGGAATATGGTAACCACGTAAGATTTCTTCCATTTTATAATTTCCGATAGAGGCATCGAATGAAGGGTGAGATTATAAAGTAACACTATTAACATTTTCATTATTATATTATAAAAAATTAAATTTAACACACATTACATTGCAACAACATTAAATTAGACACATTTTTCGAGATAGTCTCCTCAATCATTCTTTTGAAATCTATTTTAGGTAATACCGAAATGAGTTTTGTGGTATCAGTCATTCCAACAGAAATATTCAAAAACACATTGGTTTAATTAATCAAAAATTAAAAAAAAAGAAAAATCTAAGCAATTTTTACACGTAAAAACGAATGCACAATTCCGATTTAACGATAACGGGTCCCCGACGGTTTACGATGTTTTAAATTGGCCGACCTCGCGGGCATCAGAAAAAATCATCCCCTCGTCGCAGTTCACCCCCGTAACCAGAAAACACACTCGGTATACATCGGTCCGGACATACAGAAACGCATCCCGAAGATTAAAGATTGGTTTCACCCTCTAGAGAGAACTGGTAAGTTGGGAGGGGTGGCGGGCGAAAGGGGGGTCGGCCGCGTTCGAAAGGAAACGGAGGAACCCCCGTCCATATACCGAGGGTTGAGGCACAAGAGCGAGAACGCGGTATATACCTACCCTTGGTATCTCTCGTGTAATGCGATTTCCGCCTTTCCAGTCGATGTGTATGTTTTGCATTTAAATATTTAAGGACGATAATGCCGTTTAAAGATGAAACGCGTAGGAATAGGGCGGGCGAGGGTGTGGAGGGGGTTGTGCATGCGGTTTGTCGGTCTTTTACTGCGAAACCGCGAACAGGAATTTTCTGAGACCGCGTATGCGAAGAAAATTTTCTCGTTTATTTTATCATGATATTATTATAAGAAATGATCGAAAATTAGCAATACATTGCAACATTTATATACATCCGGTTTATTATATTAATAATCAGTTCGCAAAATATTTAAGTTTAAGTCTAAATCCGAAAATTGTTACACATATATGGGCGAGTCTATAGGTATTAGGTAGGAAGAACGTACGAGAACACGATGTATAAGATGGGTCGAATTAGATACTTTTAGAAAGAAGCAGCCCTTGCGAAAAGAGTTGAAATCTGTTGTCGCCGTTCCGGATTCATTTTTATACAAAAATATAATGGTTAAAAAAATTGTAGGATTATTTTGAACGGTTCCTAAAATCTTAAAAACTATACCAAACGTGTCGCATACTATACTTTTTCTACAACCATACACGAATGAATCTGTTCTCTGATATAACCGTTAGGATTGACAAACGTCAAAATTTAAGGCGTGGGAAATATCTCCGAGAACATCCGATTGCTCCCAAACCCTTGAGTTATATAAGTGTTAGAATAATTCTTGAAAATCAATTTTTCTGTTGACAACTACACAGGTCTACAAGTTTAAACTTTTTGACAGATGTTTTTATTTTCAAAATTGATTTTATATAATTCTGGTAGGCTGATTTTAAAAATTTTATGCATTTATTTGAATCACGTTAGGTTTTTTTGCAAATGTTAATGAAATAAAAACGATATCTCTAAAATAATTTTTTTTATTCAGTAACAAAGAGAATGAAAAAA